TTTCTGATTTCATTTTTCCCAGATCCTCTTTTGTTGCCAGTTCAGAGAGTCCAGGTGGTTGAGTATCAGATTGTTCCATCTCGTTTCCCTTTGGGGTTCCTGTAGGTGATCCAGAAGTCTGTTTTTGAGGCTTATGTGTCTTCTCATTTCCATGGGGGCAGGGGTGCTTCTGGGGCCTGTGCGGCTCACCTTCTCTGCCCTAGGAGCTTGGGATGGTGGCGGGGGAGCTTCCTTCCAAGTTCTGGGACCAGCTCAGCTTCTCTGCCCTAGGAGCTTGGGATGGCAGCAGGGGAGCTTCTAATTAAGTTTATTGGTACATTTTAGATGTACATAATGATCACATTCATCATAGGGAATTTTTTTATATATGATATGTCTTGATTCTTATTTTCCCATTCCCCTACCCTCCTTTCAACCTCTCTTCTCTGAATTCACAAAAGCTTTGTTTTCCATTTTTCCTTCTATTCTCATTTTGTCTCTTTCCCTTCCTTCCTTTCTCCTGCCCCTCTGACTAGTTTCCCTACCTATTATTCCTATTTCACATTACCTATTATACATTTTGGTCCTCATTTACACTTTCAGTTTCTTATACCAGAAAAACAGTGGAGTATTTATACATGCATAACCAATGTATTTCACTTAAGGGTATGATTTCAAGGTGCATCCATTTAGCTGTAAATGTCTCTAATTTCTCATTCTTTATGGATGAGTAGTACTCCATTTTATTTAAAAAAACCCCACATCTTCCTTATCTAGTCTCCAGTTGATGGGCACTTGGGATGTTTCCAAGATTTAGCTATTATAAACTGTGCTGCTATAAACATGGGTGTGCATATATTGCTGTGGTATGATGCTTTTCTTTCAGGAAGATACCAAGAAAGGGAATAGCTGAGTTGAATGGAACTTCTAGTTTTAGTTTTTTGAGGAATCTCCACAATGAGTTCTACAGTGGTTGCCCCAGTCTACACTCCCACCAACACTGGAGAAGGATTCCTTTTTCCTCACTGTCCAACCAGCATTTGCTATTGATTAATTTCTTCATAACAGCCATTCTTTCTGAAGTGAGATGGAATCTCAGTGTTGTTTTAGTTTGCATTCCATGAATGAGCAGTGATGTTGAACATTTTTTTCATTTATTCATTAGCTGTTTCTACTTCATCCGAGAAGTGTCTATCCATTTCAGATGCCAATTTTTGGATTGGGTTTTTAAATTTGGAGGGTCTTACTTTTTAGGATTCTTTATATATTCTAGATAGCAGTCCTTTGTCTGAGGAACAGCTGGAAAAATCTTTTTCCCACACTGTGGGTTTTCTCTTTACTCTGTTGCTGGTTTCTTTTGCTGTACAATAAGAATTTTAATAAGAAATAATAAAATTAATAAAATTTAATAAATGAGGTCCCAGTTGTTGCTTCTTTGTGATAGTTCCTATGCAATTGGGGCTTTGTTCATAGAGTGTTTTGCCTACACCAATGTCTTCAAGAGTTCTACCTATTCCATCTTCCAGAAGATTTAGTGTTTCTGTTTTAATATTTAGATCTTTGATGCATTTTGATTTTAGATTAGTACATGGTGAGAGATGTGGGTCTAGTTTTAATCTTCAGCAAATGGAAAGCCAATTTTTCCAGTATCACTTATTAAAGAGGTTTTCTTCCAGTGAAGGTGTTTGCTTCCTTTGTCAAAGATAAGCTGGCTGAGTATCTCTGGAGTTGTTACTGCATCCTCTAATCTGTTCCACTGATCCTAGGATTTGCTTTTTTGCCAGTACTATGCTAGTTTTTATCACAGTAGTTTGTCATATAATTTCAAGTTGGGGATTGTGACACCCCGTTCCATGTCTCTGTTGCCTAGGATTGCTTTTGCTATTATATGTCTCTTCTTGTTCCAAATGAATTTTTGGATTGTTTTCTCAAGGTCCCTGAAGTATGCTGCTGGAATTTCAATTGGGATTGCATTGAATCTATATAGCAGTTTTGGAAGTATGCCAATTTTCACTATGTTGATTCTTCTTACCCATGAACAAGGGATGTCTTTCCATTTTCTGATATCATCTTTAATCACTCTTGCCAGAGGGCTATAGTTTTCAGAGAAGAGGATTTTGATTTCTTTCATTAGGTTGATTCCCAGGTATTTCAGTTTTTTGGATGCTATTGTGAAAGGAATT